TCTTATGAACCCAATCAGTGAATATATTTACAGGGAGTACACCTGGTTCAGAACTCCATGGGGTCTTATATCAACAAGAGCAGAAATCTTCATCCTTGCCTATACTATGGAGATAGAATTCTAAGAACTAATTGGCCAAGAAGATTCAGTTTCTTCTTATGACATTTTCAATCATAAAAATTAATACCTGTTTACTGTAAAAATAATATAATCTAAGGTACAAAATAGAAAATTGAATTCAATATAATCCTATGACCCAAAGATGTGGGTCATGGGTCAAAACTCAGAGGTATGTTGTTCCTTCAAGATTTCAATGTAATAAAGAATTTCCAAACTAATGGTGAACTACTGAGCCCTTTACCTATAAGATCCATTAATATTAATAGATATGAAAAGAAACCAGAAGCTTCTTATGAAATATACTTTTCTTTATTCCATATTTAAAGCAAACCTATACAAGTAATAAGGCACTTCCCTACCAGTATCTCTACCACAGTCTTGCTTTGTCAGATATGCATTTTTTTTTTTTTTTGTAGGTTGGGAAGGAGTGAACTTGATCTGAGAAGAGCAGGCTGGAGGAAAAAAGACTAAAGACTGGAATGGGTGGCATTGATGCAATTGCAAAAACAGATGCAGCTAAGCCAGAACAACCTCATAAAACTTTGGAAACAGAGCTCTTTGAAGCCAGGGAAAGAGGGCTTTCCCTCAAACAGGCAACCACTCTACCTGCTGGAGCCCCTGTCACATGACGTAGGAAGTGTGTACATGTGGAGATCTGTGCAAGTGGATATGGCAAGTGTGCGTGCGGAGATGGCAGGTGTGTATGTGGAGATGGCAGGTGTGTGTGTGGCAATGGCAGGTATGCTGTGGAGATGACAGGTATGAATGTGGACTGTGGAGATGGCAGGTGTGCATGTGGAGATAGTAGGTGTACATGTGGAGATGGCATCTTTGCATAAGATGGCAGGAGTGTGTGTGGAGATGGCAAGTGTGGATGTGGACGTGGCAGGGGTGCATGCAGAGATGGTAGGTATGGAAGTGGACAAGGCAGTTTTGTGTGTGGAGATGGCAAGTGTGGGTGTGGAGATGGCAGGTGTGGATGTGGAGATGGCATGTGTGCATGTGGAGATGGCAGGTGTGTATGTGGAGATGGCAGGTGTGCATGTGGAGTTGGCAGGTGTGCATGGCTCACTAGTGTGGATATTGGGGTCTACTAACAGGCACTGGTAGCTCTAGGGCACCTTCAAATCACTTTGCAAGAAGCACATTTGGACAAATTGGAGCTGTCATAAGAATAGACTAGTGTATATGTGACTGTCGCTGATCAGCTGGATTATGAAACATGTTCTCCTTTGGGAAATGCTTTGAATCAGAGCCGTTTTCTTGTAATCAAGTTGGACATCAAGGGTTCTGTTAAATTTTTATGTGTTTTGTATTTCTCTTGATATTTAAAAATGTTACCATCATAATCATCTTTCTGTTTTATTGCCCTTGGTTCTGTAAATATTGATTTCCTGGAGAATATTTTTTAATTGATTTACCAATTGGGAGAACCTAATCAATGGTAATTAATGGCAAGTATCTACCCAATCCTCTGTAGTCTATATACTATAAATATGCATGGTTAAATTGTAAAACCTTTGCATTTATTATCCTGAAATTAATATAGTAAATCATATATACATATTATTCAGCATGGATCAACCAATACTTTCTATTACATTCACAAATTCCTATATTAACAAACAGACCAATCTCCAGAAGTTTTATTTTAGCTAGGTATTTGGGCCTGATGGGCGTCCCTTACTGAATTAAGATTTTATTATTTAGACTAGGCAGGCCGGTTCTAGTTTAGAAGGCTTTTACTTGATGTGTGTGTGTGTGTGTGTGTGTGTGTGTGTGTGGTGGTGGGGTAGGGGGCAAGGGGTGGGTTTGCAGGTTACGCCTTTCCCAGCATCCATGAAAGAGTTCATGATATGTTTTCTGAAGCCCTGATGAATGAAATACCCTCTCCCTGCCTCTGTCTACCCCTCTCCATTCTCCCACTCTCCCTGAAAGAGTTATAAATAATGTACAATTTAAAAGTGTAAGAAACATAGCTCTAGAACTCAACTTCTTTGTCTCTGAGTTTTGAATCCTGCTGAGCTTGTAGGAAAGAGTTTATTCCCTTTGCCCCTTCCTGAAGTTGTGCTAGTTTCCTGGGTGACATCCTTTAGGTGTAATGTGTTTATGAAATCTCTCTGGTCTTTGTCTCACCGTGCTAATCCATAAGACTTTTCAGTCTCCATTGTTTTGGCATTACATTTGGAGAAAAGAAATCTTTTGCAATGCTTCCTATTTCATATTTGTTCAAATGCACCATACAAATCTTTCTTTTACACAGGTCTTCTCTTAATGATGCTGCTAGAAAGCTGAGTGAGGGTGGACCCACAGAAGGGTCTGTTCTCTCTCTCTGCCTCTTCTAACCCAGGAGGATCTAGCCAACGAGTAGCTTTGGGTGGAGAAGCAAATTTCCACTTCCAGAATAGCTTGTCTATTCATTCACCTTTCTTTGCTCTTTGGCAAAACAAAAGCCACAAAAACTTACAGGTCTATTTTCTCCCTGACACATACCTTCCCTAAAGCATTGAGCAACAGACAACTCAAACTTAAATAGGAGAAAAAAGAAAGAAAATTCACAGATGAAAATAATATATTTTAATATCCCAAAATATGTTCCAGTTATAATTTTTGGTCCATGTAATACTTGTTATAGCAGGTTTTTAAACAATTCCTACTGTTGTATTTAGCAGCTTAGATGGATGCCCAGACAAGGTATGCAAAACCAGGCTCAGAACACATAGAGGAATATACTGTTGGACCTGCCCACACCCTCAGTCTGGACATTGTGAAGGAAGGTAATGGGAAGCAGCAGCTCTTTGCTCCTCCTGGTTATGATGGTAGAAAGAGCACATATGCTACAGTTGGAAAAACCTGCTTTCACATCTCTTTCCACACACCTAGTTATCTGACCTTGGGTGAGTCACATATTTATGGTTGTCACACATTTGGACAGGAATTTCCTTGACAGAAGGGATCATGTTTGTTCTCATCTTTATATCCTCAAAGACTAGAACAATGGTGGTACAAAATTGGTGTGCCATATATGTGGAATGAGTGTGCATATTTTAATGTTTCAGAACTTTAGCTTTCTTATCAGTACGGAGTGATAATATCAGCTGCTCTTAAGAGGATTTGGTGAAACTCCACATGTAAATAAGTCTGAGAAACTGGAAGAGCAGGCATTCAACAGATGGTGATTTCCTCCCTCCCTTCCTTTCCTCCTCCCTTCTCTCTTTTCTTCCCATATTTCACCACTCAGTGAGTATTCATGATCTGTGGGTTTTTTTTTTTTTACAGTAGGCACAGTGTCCCTCTGTTGTTTGACAACATAATCATCAGTAAGAGTATGTCAGAGTTGAGTATCTAATCTGCTAGGCATTGGGCTGTTGACTTTGTTAATTGCTTTAGGGTAAGAACATACCCTCTTCCCCCGCAGTCTCCATCATTCTTGCACTTCACTGCCTTTAACCCAAGTAAATTAACTTCAACTGTTTCTCTTCCTCTTTGGAACATCGTAATCCTTCCTTTTAATGAAACCCAGCTATTTCCTCACTAAGGCTTCTACTTGTAGTTCATCTATACACAATCATTTGCTTTTTTTTCTTAGCCTAAAGTTTTTCATTCTATAATTCCTCAGGTTTGACAAGTCATCCCAAAGAATGATACATTGTAAATGAAGTTGTATGGCTTAAATTTATATGTATACATTTCACTTTATTATAGCAGCTAAAGTGAAACACTGAGTATGTCCATTTCTATACCTTAGAAGAGTGATTTTAAGTTTTGTTTCATAAATAAGACTCTCCTTTGCCTGCCGATTAATGTTAAATGTACTTATATTTTTCTGGAGTAAAAGTTATAAATGTAATTCAAAATTAAATTTAGCATATTATAAAATCGGTCAGTAAGACAAATAAGACTTTGTTTGATGAATATAAATATTTAGAGTTGGGAGTTCTGGTGTCATTTTGACAATTGTTATCAGTCTCATCAACCTATTTATTTCTGTATTTCACTGGATTCAAAGTTTGGAATGATCCTGATTCTCACAGATAAGTAATTTCAAATGGCACTAGTTATGTCTTATACTCATCTTGAAGTCATAGATGCTTATCAAATATTTAAAAAGCTGGAAAAGCAAATCTGAGATCTTCCCACAAACCAGTCAGTCTGGTTTCATAAACTATTCATAAACATATTGGTGATCTGTGACATCTTTTGAGGAAAACTTTACTGTAGTTTCATAAAATAGTTCAAAGATACTTAATCTAGAATTAGAATCAAACATCGACAATAATTTTCTTGCAGAATCTTTGGAGACAAGTTACATTTCAAGTCATTTCAAGATTCATTGCCTAAGATATTCAGTGTTGTTATTGCCTCAGGTTTTTAAGTTGAAAATAGCCTTTGGAAAAAAACTGGAATTCAGTTGCCTTTAATAGGTCTTGTTATGCCCATAATGGTACCATACAATTGTAATGATAAACAATGGCTACATCATATTGGGATGCATTCTGTGACAATCATTTCATGTTTATACTCTCAATTGACCATCATAAAAACACTGCAAGGTAGGCATTTTATCATTCTCAGTCTACATATGAGGAGAGGGTTATTAAATTGTTCCAGATTAAGCTACTTGTCTTATGTTAAAGATTCAAACACGGGTCTACGTGCCTTTGAAGCCCACAGTTCCCAGCTGCGCATTCAGGCAGTCTATGCCCTTATAAAATGGGATTTTATGTTCACTGAACAGATGGCCTATGATGTCTTGTTTATCTATTGTTTATCAAAAACAAATGTTTTGTATTTATAAATATTAGAATATGAAATGCATTTTATTCTTTACAATTTTTTTTGAGAGAGTGCAATATTTTTCTTTTTTAAAGTCATATGGCCTGGAAAATCTCAAAGGAATGGAAGCAGAACTCCTCGCAGTGTCTGGCTGGAGTGGCTCCAAATTTCCAAGGAAGAGAAAAGCAGCTTTACACCCCTGATGGAGAATGAATAGGTACGTATAGGAGGAATGTTTTTAAATCTCAATGTAGTAGTATCTGATAAACTTAATATTTCTGTTCCTGTTTTCATCCTTTCTGCCTCAGATTTTTTTTTCATCAAAATACAAGATGACCTGAGTAATCTTTATTTATGGGCTTCAGAGTATACTGTTGTGATTTAGGGACTTAGGCAAGTTAATGTGACAGAGGTCAGGATTTGAACAAAGACAGTCAGATCCCACAGCCTGCTCTCTTAGCGACTGCCCAGTTGTCTTCCATGATGATAAATACTACATTCCCAAGAGCACTGATATCTTAAGCTCTTCAGACTCTACAGTACTACCCAAATTTCGTGGCCCTGGAGTTGTCCATGCAGAGGCTGGGAGGCCACTAGATGAAATGTTGTAGAGGATATTTCCTTACCAGGCAGGAAGTTGAATTAGATGGTCTTTAGGTAGGGTTTAATGCTGGGTTTTAACACTGGGGTCTTCATCTCCTGAGGTTCATGGACTCTAAGTTGGGTGGGCTACAAGAGTTCCATAAACCCTCAAAATAATATGTAAAATGTGGTATATTTATGTAATTGTGATTTTCTGGGAAAAAAATCATAGCTTTTACCATATTTGTAACCCAAGAAAAGGTTAAGAATCACCTTATTCAAATAATGTATTTGTTGATTGTAAATATCAAACTCAAAGCATAACCTATTCTTTTTCTTAAATTAGTGGAAATATTTGAGGAAGATTACCAATTAAAATGGGGTATGATTCTTTAATGTCACTAGAGTAACAGATAATATAACTATACTTTTATCTTTCTGTGTGTTTTATTTTACAATATCTTAGAGAAAAAAAGTGTGTTTTTTTTTCACGTAATCTTATTTAACCCAATGCCAACCCTATGAGGTGGATAGCATTATACTGTTTTGATAAATGAGGAAACAAATTTGGGGCCAGACACAATTCTCTTTGCTATTAGTAGGGGAGCTAAGACTCAAAGTCAGCTCTGTTAACATCCAACCCCGATCATTTTCAGCACTAACATGACTCATCTTACTATTTTTTTGCCTATTCTTTACAGCTTTATTGAGGAATAATGGACAAACATAAAGCCCCATATATTTCAAGTGCCATATTTGGTAAGTTTTGACATTTCTATACATCTGTGAAACCATGACAATCAATCTAGTGAACACAACCATCATTCCAAAAGGTTTCCTTCAAGACCCCTAGTAATTGCTCTCACCCATTCTTTCCCACCTCCCCATCCCCAGATAACCACTGATTTCCTTTCAACCACTGATAGATTAGTTTGCATTTTTATGGATATACCACAATTGGTTTGTCCTTTTACCTATTGATATACATTTGGGTTGTTTCCAGTGTTTGGCTAATACAAATAAAGCTGCTATGAACATTCATGAACAAATATTTGCATGGATATCTTTTCATTTCTCTTGGGTAAAACACCTAAAAATAGAAAGTTTGGATCATATGGTAAGTCTTGTTAAATATAGGCATTCTAATAGGTAAGGAGTAGTGTACCATTGTGATTTGAATTTCATGAATAATAATGTTAAGTATCTTTTGTATACTTAGGTGCCAGTACTGTATCTCCTTTTATAAAGCATTCAAATCTTTGTATTCAAATTTCTATTTGGTTATTTTATTCTAATTGGCTTTTTAGAGTTCTTTATATATTCTAAACTCAAATCCTTTATTAGACATATGATGTACAAATAGTTTCTCCCAGTCTCTTTATATTTTTTTGGATGACCAGAGGTTTTTAATTTTGATAAAGTTCAATTTATGACTGTTTTCCTTTTATTGATTCTACAGTTGGTGCCATATCTAAGGAATAGTTACCTAATCCAAGGTCACAAAGATTTTCTCCTATTTTTTTTCTAAGTTTTCTAGTTTTATGTTTTACATTTAGAACTATGATTCATTTTGAGTTAATTTTTTATTTGGTCCAAATTATGAATCAAAGTTCATTTCTTTAACATGCAGATATCTGATCATTCTAGCACCATTTGTTATGTATATTTCTGGATTCTCTATTCTGTTTCATATGTCTGTTTCTCTATCTTTATGTCTATATCTTGAAGCTTTATAATCTGGAAAAAAAATGTAGTTTCTTCTTTTTCAAAGCTATTTTGACTATAATAGGTCCTGAGCAGTTCTCTAAGAAATTAAATTGTAATTTTTAACCAAAAAGAAAAAAACCTGTTGAAAATTTTGGTTGAAATTGTATTGAAGCTGTAGATCAATTTGGGGAGAATTCACATGTAAATGATATTGAGTCCAACTCCTATCTTTCCATTCATTTAGATCTCCCTTAATTTGTAAGCTTTTCTGAAAAAGAATCATCATTCTTGATGATGTTTTTTCTTAGTTTTTTTCTTCATTTATTACACTGGCTATAGACTCCAGTGTAATGTTAAATCAAGTTGGTGAGAGCAGACATCCTTGTCTGTTCCTGATATTAGAGGGTGTCACTCCAGGGGGAAAATACTGGGGCAAAATACTTTTGAAACTGAAATCAGTCAAAGGGAGAAATAAAGCAGGAGAAACCCATTTATTGCTTACTAGCAGCCGTCCACTTCTTCTCCCCTATGTCTCTTACGACCTGGCTGCAGAAGAGGAGGTCTCACTCACCCTCTCTGGTCCAGATAAGCCCTCCGTCGCCCTTGTAGTCACCTACTGAGATGGAGATGGACTACTTCTCTCCACCCCTTGGAAACACCTATTGATATGGAGATGCACTAAAGCCAGGCGAGAGATTCTGGAAATATTGAAATTTCACCCACAAAAGGATAGCATTCAGTCTTTCACCATTAAAGTTTTTTTGTTTGTTTGTTTCCTTCTTAGGTGGCCTTTGGCTACAAAGATTAGGATATTCTTGGTTCTTTTATTGTTTGTGCCTGTTGCCATTTATCGACTGCTGCCTTCTTCAGCATGAAGTCCCGGGTATATGAGGCAGAAACAAAAGCCTGGGAACTCACCACCTGGGATTTCTAGGTCCCAGCATGCCTTCTCTCTACGTTTCAGAATCTCATTTACATATATATATAATCCCCAGGCAGTCTAGTTGTATTTAGTGGAAGGAATTAGGGAAAGAATGTCTACTCCATTTTTCCAGAAGTCCCATTCTATCCTTAAAGAGAATTAAGTATTAATAAAAAAAAACATGTATTTACTTATTTACTGACCATGCCTTTATAGTGACCTCTTCCTTTATTTGTATTGATCCATATTTCCATCTGTATCATTTTTCTTCTCCCTGAAGGACTTTCTTTAACATTTCTTATAGGGCAGGTCTGCTGTAGATGAAGTCTTTTGGCTTTCAATGCCAATAGGAGTATTATTTTACCTCCATTTTTAAAAAACATTTTTGATGGGTGTAGAATTCTGATTTGAAAGTTTTTCCTTTCATTTCTTTAAATCTGTCATTCCACTATCTTCTTGCTTGCTTTGTTTCCAAAAAAGAAATCTGCCGTCATCCATATTTTCCGTATCTATATTCCTTTGTATATAACAAGTCTTTTTGTCTCTGGATGCTTTTAAGATTTTCTCTTTAACATTAGTTTTGAGAAATTTTATTATGATATGCATAGGTGTAGTTTCTATTATGTTTCTTGTTCTTGGGGTTCACTGATTCTTGTAATTTGCATCAGATATGGAAAAATTTTGACCATTATTTCTTTGAATATTTTTCTGTCCCTTCTTACCATTCACAGCTAGCAAATTCATGATGTTAGGCTAATAGCTCAGCCCCACAGCACAGATGATATTTTTATTTTGAAATTACTTTTTATCTATGTGTTTAGCTTTTGATAATTTCTCTTTCAGTGTCTTCAAGTTCAGTAATATTTTCCTCTGTAAATATTTAGTCTTCTATTATTCCCATCCAGTGCATTTTTCATCTCAGGCATTGTAGTTTTCATCTCTAGAAACTTGCGTTTGTTGTTTTATGTTTTCCATGTCATTCCTTTATTGTTGAACATATGGAACACATTTATTAGAGCCTTTTTAATGTCCTTGTGTGTAACCTCTAACATCTGTGTCAGTTCTTGGTTGTTTTGATTGATTTTTCTCTTCTTCATGATTTGTATCCTCTTATTTCATTATGTTCCTAGCAATTTTGACTAGATACCTAGCATCTAATCTAAAACTACTCTAAAATTCTAATCTGATTTTTACCTTTTTGCATGGTCTATTTTTTAATATTGCTATAAATATTCTTGAGCTTTGCTCTGGGATGCAGGTAAGTTATTTGGAAACAGATTGATCCCTTTTAGTATTGCTTTCAAAATGTGCTAGGTAGTATCAAAACAGTGGCTTATCTAACCTAACTATTATACTACTGAATTAAGACAGTTCTGGTACTCTAAAAAATACCCCATGAACTAGGAAGTTTGATAACCTGGCTGGTAGGGAAATGCATGACTCTGTCCTTGTTTGAGTGCTCAGCACTGTAACTTTTGGGTGTTTTCCCCACGGCTTTGGGTAGTTTTCTAACGTACATGAGCTAGTTAATACTCTGCTATATGCTCAAGGGGACCCTGCAGACATCTAGAGTTCTCTCTGTTCAACTTTTCTCCTCTCCTGTACTCTGCCATGCCAACTCCAGCTACCCGGACCTCTCTTGACCGTCAGGCCCATCTTCTCAACTCAGAGAGTCTGCCAGACTCTAATTAGTTTCCTCATCTGTCTGTTGGAGCCTAGAAACTATCTCAGGGTAGTAAGCTGGAGAATTTGTAGGGTTTACCACATTTTTTCCTTCTTTGCCTGATGTTCAGTACTTGACACCAATGTTTTATATGTTTTGTCTTGTTTTTAGTTATTTCAGAGAGAGAGGTAAATCTAGTCCCTATCACTCTATTGTCCAGAAACAGAAGTCTCTTCTTTTTTTTTTGTTCATCTTTGTCAACTCAAATCTAAAACAGAAAAGAAGTACCCACCTTTTTTGCCCTTTGATAATTTTTACATTCTGAATATAACTTTTTGTCTATAGAATAGTTGTATGTTGGAGCAAGTATAACTACATCTTCCCCAGGATAGTGACCCCATTGTCTAATATACATTCTAGATAATATTAAATCTAGAAATGATTGAATAAATAAGTAAGTGAACAGACTCACAAAACCCCAGCTGTACTGAGGGAATGAGATGCAAATAGCATGTTAATGTAACACATACTAGTTTTAAAATTCCTTTCATACAGTAAAATTGAACCAGAAGTGAGAAAAGGAATGCAGAAAAGAAATTCAAGAAAGACTTGCAGAAGTGATCAGCTATTGCTTTGAAGTGAGGAGGGAACCCATGCTTCCCCCCAAAATAGAGCATTTAGAGCATGCCATGGACCAGGGTTTTGAAGATTGCTTCCTGGCCATTGCCTATCCCAAGGGAGTGAGGTGCATACTTTCAAGCCCACCCCTTTTTCCCATTTCTGTGTTAAATATATCATTCTCTCTCTTTCTTTCTTTCTTTTTTCTCTCTCCCCCTCCCTCTCCTTCTTTCTTTCTCTCCTTAGAGAACCTAAAACCCATTAGCCAAATAATTGTGTTGAAAGGATTTGGTGGGGACCAGACAAATTAAGTATAAATGTTAACAAGAATGGAGGTGTTATTTATTGAAAGAGCAAGATTGAAATGGAAAAGATTGAAATTGAAAATTTGACAGTATTACCTCTAAGGCCCTTCTAGTCCCACGTTTCTCTTTACATGGGGTACTCAAGGGGAAGTGAGCAGTCCTCTGGATTACATTAAGGGTATTTTATTTCATTTATTACTTACTATTTACACCAGCATAATTCCACACTATTTTTCTCTTAATTTGGTGTTATTCCAAAGACTTATTTTAAGATATCATTAGTTTAAGAGCATCTCGTATTTTAAACGCTGTTTTTGTTACATTTTAAATGTTAATTTTCCATGGCGTCAAACTGTACCCTTATTTAAAAATAAATAAAGCTTAGGGGCAAAATCACATTACCAAAACAATAACTGTACGTATGAAAGCTTGTGGTCTATGTTTTATTTCTCTCCATTATATAACAGTGTTCCCAGGGAACAAAATAAAACAAACCACAAAAATCATTGCCTTTTTGAAGTTAATTCTTCCATGAAAACCGTGG